GTGCACACCTACAAGGAAGCTAGGGCGCACGTAAGAGTTCATGCAAACGACCCAGGTGCACACCTGTATGCCAGTTAGGGCGTACGTAAGTGATCCACGTAAACATAAGTGAACTAAGGTGCACGTAAACTGTCCAGGTACACGCAAGTGATCCTGCGTCCAGGTATACTTTAAGGGAGGCCGAGTGCACGTAAGCGATCCAGGCGCTGTACACGTAAAAGGGCCGGGTGCACTTAAACAGGTGGAGTGTATGGAAGCGAGTCAGGGGTGCACGTAAGCCATTCGTGTGTACCTAAAAACGATCCAACTGTACCATTAAGGGGGCCAGGCACACGTCACGTAAGCGTATCAGGCGCACCTAGGCGAACTAAGGTACACATAATTAAGCCGGGTACATGTGAAGTTAGGTTGGCGTAGATGAGGGGAGACCTTTTTCCCCTTTATTCCTTTTGACCTTTTTCATAATCCATCTGTATATTTTCCAACTAAATTTTTCACTTAACCTTAAATAATGTGTATGGGGCAATCGCCTTCCTGTACTAATCTTCCCTCCCCCCCCCCTCCCCTCCCCCCACGTTGCTTGCCTGTATTGCGCGAAATTAAAAACGTCGCTATTACGCATATGTGCAGTCAGGGGTGTTTTCTGAATGAGGCACTGGACGTGAAGGAGTAGCCGACGTGAGCTGCCCAATTTAATAATTCCCGAAGTTTTACCGCACTTCGTCAATACATTATGTGCCGGATGCCGTGGACAAGGTCTTGTTGCTGGCCAGTGACACCGGGACTTACCAGTAGTTTTTGAACTGGAAAATCAACGACAACCGTGTCCCATTGAAAAGACAAGTTCCCGAAACCCGTAATAAATTTCTAGTTGGTTTTTCTGAAATCTGATACATAGTGGAAAAGTGATTTCCCAGGCATACGGAGGAAAGGGGGATTGTTTATCGAGCTGTAGAAACTCGTCTTCAGGCTTCTTTTGCCGGCCGGCCTTTTTCTTCCCCCAATACTCCAGTTATTTTTTGTCGGAAAATATACTGTTCCTCCTTCCCTTCTCCTCCTCTTGCGCTCTCCGTCCTTCAAAACTCAGAAAATGAGGTAAATCCGTTAATGGGGCATGGAAGAGGACGGATAATTTTTTTTTGTCCACGTTTTAATGCGTGATCAGCAAAATCGAGTGCATTTTTTGTCGGTTTTTGTGATGGACTTTTATTCGGCCTGAAGAAAGGACTTTTACTTTTAATTGGCTTGAAAAATGGAAGTTCTATAACAGACTTTTCCTCGGCCCTTCACTCCTGGATGTCACGTTAGGTTGTTTCAAACAACCAAATTCAACTGTTGCAATTCTGTCTTCAGTCCCAGTGTTGCACTCAACTGGACTGTAGAGAATCTTGATCCATTGTTGATCCCTTCCAATCTCCTGAACACATAGTTCTGGTCACTCACTGCTGTTGTTGCGGTCATTTCTAACATTACCTACTTATATTTTACAAGTCTAAATGAGGATTACAATCCCGCACTGGTACTACACAAATTGGACGTTTGTTCAAGGTCGAACGAAATTGGTCCAGTTTCTTTACAAGTTCATTTTTACTGCAGTTTCAAACCCACTAGTCAGGCATCTTTAATACTCTTATCATTGGATTTCTTTTTTCCTTTTCCCCCTTTTCTGCTCAATTCAAGTTTTTTGAATACTATTATCGCTGGTTGTCTAGGAATGCGATTTTATCAGGGTTATCCAGGATCGAAGCAGACTGTGACTTTTGGTCGGAAGTGGAGACTTAAAGTCCTTCCGTTCCCACTCCCCACGGGTAACGAAAATAACCGGAACTAGTACGAGTGATAGCACGTGCCAACAGCAACCATTTACTGGCAACAGTCTTGATAGCTTCCTCTTTCGAAGATTGCTTAGAAGCAAACTGATGGCGATTTTGACTCACTGATATGCACCAGTACTAATTTACACTGGAATAAATTAACGAATCGTAGGAGAACTGGTTTCCTTCCTCATTGAGTCTCGGCTGTATCGTTACAGAAAATGCTGGAAATTGCTCGCAAAGAGGTTATCTTTTATGAGGATCAGTTGTGGTTTTGAATAGGGATATCTGCGGCTTCTTGGACTGAAACGTTCCTGTTTATCCAGTTCTTTTAATATAATTTTATACTTTTATGTATATCATAGTTAATATCTTTTTTTACTGAGGTGTAGCACCTTTGCTAATCCCAGCGGCAGTATGAACGATATTTTGTTTCAGGTGTAAATTAGTGTTTTTCTCAGCCGATTTTACTTGCAGAGATTGATTGGGGTGGTGTGTCAGTCACCTCCCCTCCACGGATAGGCCGCAAAGAACTTTTTTTTTCAGGGGAAAACAGGAAAATTCGAAGAATACTTGTTTGTGCTGTCACATATTGTGGTTCCGAGTGCATCAGAGGTGCATGCCGGTGATTCACTGAGAACAATCACCCACCATCCTCACTTTACCGACGCGCATTATCCCCAGTTTTGTATAATTTTAGCGAAAATTACTCAGCTTGGCGACAGCATTTTCAGGCTTTGTGAATTTTCGCTGAACGAGGACGACGCGATTGACGAGAACGAAGTGCCGCGGCAGCAACAGCAGCAGCATCAGCAGCCAGCAGAAGGCAACAGCACTGCGCAGTGGATGAGGTATAGTCGGTTGGGTGCTGAGGAAACAAAGATACGATTGGAGGAGTCTCAGCCACTGATGAGCGAATCAGTCGCCAGCACCAGCCGGGACGACATCTTTCTGTTGCCTCTCGCAAGCGCCCCCGCCAGCAGCAGCCGATTCTCGAGCTTCTTCGATACAATTATGTTCAGGCAAGAATTGCTTTTTATGCGTTCTCGCGGTGCAGCGCTACAGCCAGCAAAAACGCGTATTGTCGAAAGATTGTCTGTGTGTGTATTCGGAAGCGAGTGAATTTTATCACCCACTTTCATCTC